TGGCACTGGTGAGAACGGTGTGTCCCCACGTGCTAGTAATTGTTGTTGTTGTTGTTGTTGTTGAACCTTCACTTCTGAAGAATAAGTATTGTTGATACCCCCGCCGGTGCACACTGTTTTTTCTCAGTCAAAGTGCGCCCCTCGACGCTCGCACCCTGTTTTTTGTTAGGGAAAGTCTTGATCCTCAAACTGCGTTGTTGCCCCCCAGATTACAACAACAACGGCTCCCGCTGGAGACTTCCTCGCAATTTACTCACGACCCCGCTCCCGCCTGAGACTTCCTCACAGTTTACTCAGGATCGGCGCTCCCGCTTGAGACTTCCTCGCAATGTACTCAGGACCCCCGCTCCCGCTTGAGACTTCCGCACAATTTGTTTTCAAGGAACGGCGCTCCCGCATGGGACATCCCGCACAACTGAGCTACGTTGAACTCTCATAACGGCGCTCCCGCTTGGGGCTTCCTTCAAATCTTCACTCCTGAAGAATAATTATTGTTTTCATACGCGCCTCTCCGAAGGAATATAGCTCAGAGGCGATTGGTGCGTACGCGCGGCCGCGCGGCCCCGCGCGGCCGCGTCCGGGATTTTTCTGGCCGTTTCGCTTGGGACATCGTTGGGATTTTAAAAATCGGTGGCACCCCTCACGCAGATCGCGACGTCATGGTCAAAAACACAAAGGGATTTGCAACGATTTCGAACATCGGTGGCACCCCTCACGCAGAGCCCATTGGGACAACCGGCCTGCCGCGCACGCGCCGGTACCAGCACTGCAGCTGGTGACGTTCGGCTTGGGTATCGTCTCCCATGCGCCCCCGAACATTGCCAGAGCTCTCACCCCAACGTGGCCGGCGACGGCGGGCCCCAGTTCACCTCCCACGTCTCCTACGTCTCCTTGAGCGTTGCCTTCCACATCGCGATGAGCAGCATCGCCAGTGCCTGCTGCTGAGGCTTACTCTTTTCGCACAAGCAGATCCTGGCGCTGTAGTGATGGCGTTTCGTTATTGTATATAGCTGATCACATTCCCGCACCGCGAATCCCAGCAATGTGATGGATGACGTCGGGTTCCGACTTCACCCCCCACGGGGCCGCTGGGCAACAACACTGTCCACTGCCGTATTTCGCTTTCCTGCGCGCAGTGAACCCAGCGTTACGGCTAATGAAATGGAGTCTCAGTGCGGATTGCCGCTGATATCTGCTTGCGACAAGTGAAATGGGGTTTCACCGGCAAGTGCCAGAGCTCGCTGCCTCTGATTGCGGGTTCGCCTCCCGCGCTTCTCCAGTTACACGTGCCCGGGGAGAAATATACCCCCCCAAAAGGGGTGCGATCGAAGACGAAGAGGGCGGTGTCCAGGGTTTGGGATATGCATAGTGAATGACGCGCTGGCAGGTTGGAGCGACCAGTCTTATAATGATTGTTGTTGTTGTTGTTGTTGTTGTTGTTGTTGTTGTTGTTGTTGTTGTTGTTGAATATTATTACTTCTAAAGAATAATTATTGTTGGGCCCCCTGGTGCACGCCCCCCTCGCCGCGCCTAGGCCGCAGCCACATTTTCATCATTTTCGTGAGGAAGTCTCAGGCAAAACGGGGGAGTCCGGATCCGGTTGTTTTGTTGACGCCCGCTTTCCCTGTCAAAAAACAATATAAAATGACATGTCTTGTTCTAACATAACCAAACTTCAAGAATCCTTTGCAAAAAATGACACGAAGTGCACACTCGCGCGCGCAAGATGAAATCCTTCCAAAACCTTAGTTTTCGTAGCGATTTTAACATAAAAACATGAAAAACCCAATGGTTTTTCAAAAAAAAGTTTCAAAAATTCATCCCGCGCGCTCTTGCGGATTTCTTAGGAAACCCAATACTTTTTCAACATTTCTGTCAAACGGGCTCTTGCGAGCAACTTTTTCACGTGCTTCGAACTTCTGCAACAACGGTTGCGCGCATGCCAGGGCCATCATCCCTGTCAAATAATACCATATGGGACACATTCGTTTTTTCTTCGCGCGCGCACGCCGAAATCTTCAAACACCATTTGGTTTCTTAAGAATTTCAGCACCTCGTATCATACAATCGCACGAATCGCACCGTAGGTCCTCGAAAAACACGTGCACGGGTTTTCCAAATTTCTACCCGCGCGCGCTGTCCGAATCCTTAAAAACAAATGGTTTTTCAACATTTATGTTACATGAGCTCGCGCGAGGAACCGTTGTTTCCTATTCTAGCGTCAGGAACATGTTACCACGAAAAACCAGTACAGGTGTCCAGTGTTGGAACAGGGGGAAAAGTCGTATACTAAGCTAGCTTACAGAAAATGTTACCACAACAAGTCACTGTACCCATGCGCCAGTGTAGTAGCCAAGGTCGTCCGCAGGCCACGAAGTGAAGTGTCCGAACGTCATAGGGCGGGAAGCTGGGTGTGGGTGGTGGCGAAGAGTCGTTTGGAAATTTGGTAGAGCTTGAACCGGCCCCCCCACAAAGTGGGGGTATTGCCCGCCTCCTATGAAAACCCTGGCACTGGTGAGAACGGAGTGTCCCCACGTGCTAGTAATTGTTGTTGTTGTTGTTGTTGTTGTTGTTGTTGTTGTTGTTGTTGTTGTTGTTGTTGTTTGTTGTTGTTGAATTCACAAATGATACATAATTATTCTTGACCCCCCCCTCCGGTGCACGTTGTATTTTTGAAGTGATGTGCCCCTCCCGGCGCACGCACCCTGTATTTTTTATCAGAGAAAATCTTCATCTTCAAATTGAAGCCAGGGCCCCCGCTCCCGCCTGAGACCTCCTCGCGTTTTATTCCGGAATCGCGCTCTCGCTTGGGACGTCCATACCATTTACTCAGGAATCGTTCTCCCGGCGCTCTGGAGGCGTGCTCTCGTTAGAGATTCGCTTGCAAACTACTAAAGAATAGCGCCTTTGCGTTGGAACTTCACGCAATTTACTCCAGCGCCGCGCTCCGGACACTCAGGCCCCCAGGAGTCACGCTCGCGCTTACTCCCTATCCGATTTTTTAGGAACGGGATTTCGCTGCCGTTCGTGGCCCCGTTGCAGCCCTTCGTGGCGCCCTTCGTTGCCCCTCGCTGCCCTTCGTGGCCCCGTCGCAGCCCCTCGTGGTCCCCTCGCTGCCCTTCGTGGCCCCGTTGCAGCCCTTCGTGGCCCCCTCGCTGCCCTTCGTGGCCCCGTTGTAGCCGTTCGTGGTCCCGTCGCTGCCCTTCATGGCCCCCTCGTTGCCCTTCGTGTCCCCGGTGTCGTCCTTGGTGGTCCCCTCGCTGTCCTACGTGGCCCAGTTGCTACCGTCAGTGGCCCCGTCGTTGCCTTCTGTGGCCCCGCATTATCTGCCCTTCGTGGCCCCCGCTCGGTCGCGCTCTTCGTGGCCCCATACGCATTCTGTTCGTGTCCCCGCTGTCGCCCTTCGTGGCCTACTTCGTGCCCTTCGTGGCCCTGCGGTCGTTCTCTCTCTCGTTCTCGCTCGTCGTCGTCGTCGTCGTCGTCGTTGTCGCCGTCGTCGTCGTCGACGTCGTCGTCGTCGTCGTCGTGGTCGGTCCCCTGTCCGTCCCTCTTGGGGTCGGGTTGCCGCCGATCAGCGCTGCCGCTGGCCAGGCCGACGGTCGGCGGCCGCCCCGCCGTTTGCCAGGGCCCAGCCTGCAGGGAAGACACGTATACCCTCCCAAAGGGGTACGATCGAAAACGAAGAGGGTGGGTATCGAGGGTTTGGGAAATACGCGTTGACGGACACTCGAGCAGATAAGACCGAACAGTCTTAAACTGATTGTTGTTGTTGTTATTGTTGTTTGTGGAACTTTCATTGTTGAAGAATGATTATGTTTCCCCCCCCGTTCGGTAACATACGTATTTCTAATGTGAAGTGCCTTTTCCTGTGCCATTTTGCTGATCTTATAAAAAATCATGCATGTGTATATGTGTATATGTATATGTATATGTATATGTATAGGTATATGAATATGTATACGTATATGTATATTTATATTTACATATCTATGAATATGTGTATATATATGTATATGTATATGTAAATGTATAGCTATATGTTTATGTATAAGTATATATAAAGGTATATTTACATATGTGTCTGTATATATGTACATGTATATGTGCATTCGTATAAATGTAAATGTGTATGCATATATGTATATGTATATGTGTGTGCATATGCATATGTATATGTATACGTATATGTGTATGTGTATGTATATGTATATGTATATGTATATGTATATGTATATGTATATGCACGTGTGTATGTATATGTATATGTATATGTATATGTATATGTATATGTGTATGTGTATGTATATGCATATGTATCTGTATATGTATATGTATATGTGTATGTGTATGTATATGTATATGTATATGTATATGTATATGTATATGTATATGTATATATATATGTATATATATATATATATTGGTAAATCACCTTGGTATCGTTCTAGCGTTGAGCGGAATTCGTTCGGGAAGGCTGTTGAATCCGTGAGGATGACCCTTGTACCGCGGGTGGAGACACTTGCCAGGTCTCTCTCTCCCGTTCTCTCTTTTCCCTTCTCCATGTCCTTACCCGTTTGGGCTCAAGGCTCTGAGCGCGCTTTCTGGCGCGCGGCGGATGGCATCGGAGTTGCTGGTCACTGCTGTCGCCGGTGTTTCACAGGCGATTTACGGTTGGCTGTTGCGGTGCCCGCCGGTGCCGAGATGTCCGACCTTCTCGTGCCCGGCGATCCCTCCCTGTCCGAATCTGCGCTGCCCTGACTTGCGGTGCCCAGCGTGCCACGCGACCCAGTGTCCTCAGGCGCCCTCGTGCCCAGCCTGCGAGGCGGCCGAGGAGTGCTCGAGTGACTTGGCGTCGTGCAGCTGGTGGGTGCCGTTCGTGGCTGGCCTGCTGACGGGCGTCGGGATCGTGGGCCTAGCCTGGGTGCTCAGCCTGCTGGTGCGGCTCTGTGTGACGAGGAGCTCGCCGGCGCCGCTCGACTCCAAGGATGTCGTCTCGGGAGGAGAAGGACGTGGCGTGGGTGAAGTACGGCGTCCGAGGTGCGCCCTTGTGGCACCAAAGGTTGATATTGGCGCGCCTGCGGTGCTTTCAGGGGGAGTGCGTCGTCTTGACGCCGGACGGGGACGTCTACATCGAGGACTTGCAGCCCTACCGGAACCCGGACATAGTGGCGGTGGCGTGGGAGACGGTGCCGGGTCGCGCACCGATTGAGATCGGCGATGAGAACACCTACAATTTCGGAGCCTTCCCCCAGGGACGGCAGTGGGAGAGGTTGCTGGACGAGGCCGACGGCGTGGCCAACGCGGAGGAGCGTCGCCGAGGCCCGGTGGTGCACCCACCTGGCGGAGATGGCGGCGGAGACCTCGGCGCCGGGCCCATGCCGCCCCCGATCGTCGACGCAGGCGCGGCGGGGGAGGTCCGTGGGACTCTCACCCCGAGGGGGCGCGAGCGTGAGGTTCGCGCGCCCGCCGCGCCCGAGGGCCGCTGGGTGATCGCAGTGGCCAACGGGTCCCTGGGGTTCGCCGTCGGCGACGAGGTGGCGATGTCGTCGGACGCCCTGGTCTCGCCCGACGGGCGGATGGGGCTGGTGCCGGCCCCCCGCTCGGCTGAGTGGGTCTTCGTGGAGCGCCTGCGCACGGATGAGACGCCGGCGGACTACGTGGCCGCGAAGGCTCCTTCGGCTTCGAGCTCGGACGCTCGTGTGCTGGGCGTGCAGTACAACAGCTAAGGGGTCAGGCAGCGGTTGTGGCGCGAGGTGGCGGTGAAGGTGCAGCAGGTCGAGTTCAAGGACTGGCCCATGCCGGGGCCGCGAACCGTGCTCTGGTGCGTGCAGTTCGTGGACCGCCGTGGCGGCGGGCCCATTGACCACCACCGCTGGTGGGTCGCCCACCTGAAGCTGTCCAACACGGACTTCGGGGTTCAGGAGCACGAGCACGGGATGCGAGCCTTCCAGTTCTTCGGGGAGTACGATCAGATCGACCTCCCGAACCTGGTCGGGCTCGAAGTCGTCTTGAGGCGGTGCCAGGTGATTGAGTTTCACTACGAGAAGAAGAACAAGGGCGGCAAGGCGAACGAGCAGGCGCAGGGGGTGACTCGCGACGAGGCGGCCTACTTCTCCGGCTCGCACCGCTTGGGTGGGGAGGTGATGATCTGCCCCGAGTTGGTGGAGGGGGTGTCAAAGGAGATTGGCCGAGACGTCGAGGTTACCAAGCAGATGAGAAAGGCGCGGGAGGAAGCCAAACTCTCGCGCAAAGATGGCGCGTGATGGGCCTAGGCCAGAGGGCGACCCCACCCTGCTGGCCTTCACACATGAGGGGGGGCACGATCGACAGCCACCGCGGAGGGAGACCTCCGCCCCGGAAGGTCGCGCGAGTTTTGTGGCCCAGCGTGACGCTCTTCCCTTGGCTGTTCAGGAGCGCGTTCGGCGTGATGATGGCTGGGGGTCTCTGTCGCGTTCCGTACGACGACGCGTGGAGGCCAGTGAGCACCGGCCCGACTGGGAGTCTGACGTGGCGCGGGCGCTCAACGAGCTCGGCGGCTACCAGGACACGCCCGCCAGTGAGCCTGTCGGTGGTGGCACCGACACCGCTTCGCCGGCGCAATTCAGGCCTCTTGTGCACGACCTTGGGCTGACGCACGTTCGTGAGTGCGTTGCCCGGTGGGGGAAGCTTCCTGCCGACCTCACCTGCCGGGGGGCCTTTCGAGAGCTCCAGGCGTCCCACAGCTATCAGGGGTCCCCTGTCTCTGTGGCCCCTCTGAACCTTGACCTTCTCAGTCTTCCTGCTGCTGGGGTGCCCCGGGACCTGGGGGGTCTTGTCGAGAATGGACGCGATGAAGTTCAGAAGTTTGTTGAAGACTACCTCTTGCCAAAGGATCTGGCGGGCGAGCGTTTGAGCTCGAACGGGGTCCCTCAACGCCCGTGCCTCGATCCTCTCCTCCACCGTCCTCGTGAATATGAGCGTGTCATCCGGGCTCTAGCTTAACGTGGGATGCTTGAATTCGGTTTAGAAGTAAAAGAGCAGTGTGGCCTTTTTTCGGTCTGGAAGAAAAACAGGACCCAGCGTTTAATCATTGACGCCCGTAGGTCTAACTGTTGGTTTAAGGATCCGCCCAAAACCCGTCTTGCCTCGGGGGATTCTTTTTCACGTTTGTTCGCCGCGGCCGACCTGGCCCTTGAATTGGGTCAAACCGACATCCAGGATGCTTTTTACCAAATGGCCCTGCCCGAGCCCCTTAGGCCCTATTTTGGTCTCGGGAAGGTTCGGGCGGGACGCGTAGGTGTCACCTGTACTGTAGAAGGGGGCCTCTGTAGGACCAAACACGTGGATCTTCCCGAGGCTGAAGGTGCTGGCGATGGGTTGGACGCATGCCCTCAACTGGTGTCAGAGAGTTCTGGAAGCTGCGTGTGATCGGGTCCCGGGCCTCAACAACGACTCCCGCGTCCAGGACCACCGAGCCCCCCCAGATCTACGACCGGTTGCACACGCAGCGTATGTTGACAACTTCGTGGCTTTCTCTCAGACTGCAGGAAGAGCTCGGTCAGCGGCCGAGGGGGTTGCGACCGAGCTCGAGCGTGTAGGTCTGCGAGCTCATCCGGTAGAGGCAGGGCCAGGAGGCGAAGCTCTTGGCTGGATGTTTCCAAGTGACCGCCCCGTGGTGATCGGAAAAGAGAGAAGGGTGTGGCGTCTTCGTCTTGCACTTCAACACGCTTCGCGTCTGCGCTACCTGAGCGGGAAGCAGGTAGAGGTTCTTGTGGGCCACTGTACTCATCTGTTTCTTCTTCATCGGGAGCTCCTGTCGGTCTTCAGCGGGGTGTATGCCTTTATCGGGCGTCATCGTGGGGAGAGCGTTCGAGTCTGGGATGCGGTTCGACGTGAGTTGCGGTGGGCCTCCTGTCTTATCTGCTTCTGCTCCAGGGACCTGTGCGCCCCCATCTGCACGCGCGTCCTGGCCACTGACGCTTCTGCGTGGGGTCTTGGGGTGACGGAGACCGTGGGCCTGGAGGCCGACGTGAAGCACGCGATGAGCTTTTCAGAGGCCTGGAGGTTCAAGGAGGGTGGAGAAGGGGCCCGTGAGCAGGCCCGGGAGCGGATCGAGGAGGCGAAGGTGACGGGGCAGAAGGCAGAGAGCGCTAACGTGCCGGAGGGCGTGGACGTCTGCGCCCGGCTGGAGCGGGGGGTCGACCTCGTGCCTCGATCTCTTGTCGCAGGCCCTTGGAGGACAGTGAGGTCGCAAGCTTGGGATCGTCCTGAGAGTATCCCTGTTCTTGAGACCAGAGCTGCCCTATGGGGACTTCGTCACGCGCTGCGAAACAGCCGGACATGGCATAAACGTCTTCTCATCCTCAGCGACTCGATGTCGGCTGTTCTGGCTCTGAGCAAGGGCCGAACGTCTGCGCCCGGGATGCTCCGTGTTGTCCGGCGCTGGGCTGCCCTGGCGCTTGTGTCGGGATGTTCCGTCTACTTGAGGTGGATCTCGAGCGAGGAGAACCCTGCTGATGCTCCCTCGCGGAGAGGGCTACTGCCGCCGGCCGCCGTCGCCGGGCGTGGAGCTGGCAACGCTGCCGCGTGCCCCGACCTCGGCCGGGCTCCACGGGGCGGCAGCGCAGCCGCTGCCCTGGCTGCCCCGGGAGGCGCTGGCCCACACTGGCAGGCCGCGAGCGCGAGGCCGGCCCTTCGGGGCAAGAGGGGATCGACGCCCGTCGCGGCCCTGCCGAGGGACCGCGCTCTGGAAGGGGTCGGGCCGCTGGCGCCGGCGCGGCGCCGGGCGCAGCCGCAGGCCCGACGTGCCGCCGCGCGCGCGGCTGCCCGCCGGGGCTCGGCTGCTACGAGGGCTCCGGAGCTGGCGAGGCTGAGCTACCTCCAGGCGGCCAGCGTCCGGCCGCGCACCCAGCAGCTGTACCTGGAGAGCTGGCAGAGCTTCGAGGACTGGGCACGGTGCCGCCTCCTCCCTCTCCAGTCGGAGAAGCAGGTCGACGACGCGCTCGTGGGCTTCTTCGACTACCAGTACTTCGAGGGGGCGCACTCCAGCCTGGGCTCGCGCCTGGTGTCGGCGACCTGCTACTTCAACCCACAGTGGGGGCGTCAGAGGGGATCCCACCTGGCGGCTGCCCGCCAGGCTTTCCGGGGATGGGCTCTGAAGTGCCCGAGCATGTCGCGGCTGCCGACGCCGTGGGAGGTGGTATGCCTGTTGTGCGACTGGCTGGTCCGCAACGACCGGTGGTCCATGGCGGTGGCGGTGCTGATGTGCGTGGTGTTCTACCTGAGGCCGAGCGAGGCCCTCAGTCTGCGCCGCTGCCAGCTGGTGCCGCCGCTGCCGAGCGGAGGCAAGCACCACTCGAGGTGGGCGGTGATCCTCCATCCGATGGAGCTCGGGCAGCCGTCGAAGGTCAACAAGTGGGGCGACTCGCGGCCGCTGGACCTGCCAGATCACAACTTCATGGTCCCGCTGCTGGAGGCCCTGTGGCGACAGGCAACCGGTCCAGACGCCCCTCTGTTCGAGTTTACCTACCAGCAGTGGCGAAACGAGTACAGGAAGGGCGGGCTGGCGCTGGGCCTCCAGGACTTGGGGCCACCGACGCTGTACGGGCTCCGACACGCGGGCGCGAGCCTCGACATCAGCCTCGGCCGCCGGAGCCCGCTAGGCGTGCAGCACCGTGGCGGGTGGGCCCAGCCAAGCTCGATGCGCCGCTACCAAAAGGCAGGTCGTCTGACGGAGCAGTTGCACTACCTGCCACACGGCGCTCAGCTCGCAGCGGCAAAGTGCGCTTCCGAGATTGGCGCCATCATGAGCAGGTCCTGCCGCTCTTGAAGGCCAACTACATAGTTGTGCGGTTCGCTATTGAGCTTTTTTCTGGGTCTGGAAATTTCTCAGCTGTTTGGAGACGGAATGTTGGATTGCCTATCATTGAATTTGACATTCGCCATGGAGAGCAGTATGATCTAACGTTACCGAAGGTGCAAAAACTTGTGCGAGGATGGTTGCTGGCGTCACTGGTAATCGCAGTCTGGATGGGGACTCCATGTTCGAGTTTTTCTTGTGCCCGCGACCGTGGTGGCGGGCCTCCCCGGCTAAGGAGCGATTATGAACCTCTTGGGCTCCCAGATCTCTCGGCCGTGGACCGTGAAAAAGTTCGAATCGGGAACGTGCTCATGACCTTCTCGGCGTCCGTCTTGAGGCTCTGTGCTCGTCTCATCATACCATGTGCGTTGGAGAATCCCTCGACCAGCAGGATATGGCTGTGCCCACCAACGGCTTCCGCCTGCCGCCTCTGCCCCGTGCGTAGCATCCGAACCGATTTTTGTGGTTTCAGTATGCCGTGGCGCAAACGAACCAGAATCGTGAGTGTGCATGTAGATTTGTCCAGATGCTCTCGTCTTTGCACTGGCCGCGGCATTTGTAGCTACAGTAATAAGCCCCACGTTGAGCTGTCCGGAAAGTCTAATGGTGTTTTCCGAACTTTAATTGCCGAGCCCTACCCCCGTGCCTTGTGTAACGCTCTAGCACATAGCTTTAAAGATGCCCTGGCTGCAGTTGAGATATATGGCTACTGTGACCTTTAATCCGATGCCTCCAGTTGTAACTACGGCAAATCGGGAGTTCAGTATCTCTGAGACCGGTCCAGAGGGTTGTGTTTAATGAGTCGCTAGCTCCAGTCTTCTCAGGGCGAAGGTCTGTAGCCACGACATATCGCTGCTGGCCTGGATGAAAAAGAGCGGAGTGCAATGCTTGGTAGATCGCCTTGGTATCGTTCTAGCGTTGAGCGGAGTTCGTTCGGGAAGGCCGTTGAATCCGTGAGGATGACCCTTGTACCGCGGGTGGAGACACCTGCCAGGTCTCTCTCTACCGTTCTCTCTTTTCCCTTCTCCATGTCCTTACCCGTTTGGGCTCAAGGCTCCCAGAGCCCGCCCGCCCCGCCTATGATCCCATGTAATTTTTTCAGGAGTTCAGTATCTCTGAGACCGGTCCAGAGGGTTGTGTTTTATGAGTCGCTAGCTCCAGTCTTCTCAGGGCGAAGGTCTGTCGCCACGACATATCGCTGCTGGCCTGGATGAAAAAGAGCGGGGTGCAATGCTACATATATAATATATATATATTATATATATATATATATATATATATATATATATCCCTGGGGGCGAGGCCGGGAACCCCAGGACAGGTGCCCCGACCCCCCATGGGGGGACCGGGGCTCATTTTTCCTGTGTTTTTAGATGGTTTCCGCGTCCTGGGCCTCGGAGGCCGCCGCCTCCGACCTCCCATGGGAGGACGGGGCGGCCAGGGAGGTCCACAGTAGTCCAGGAGGGCCTCCAGAGGCCCCCAAGACGGTCCAAGCGGGCCCCGAGTCGCCGAAAGACCGCTCCAGGACGCCCAAGATAGGCCCAAGACGGCCCGAGAGGCCCCCCAAGGCACTCCACGACGCTTCAAGACGCTCTCCAGAGCGCTTCCAGAGGCCGAAATCGTCAATTGTACGAAGGTTTTCGAACGATTTTGGCCTTCCAGCCTTTTCGGCTGTCCGACGTTCCAAGACGGCTCAATAGGCCCCCAAGAGCGCCCCAAGACGGCCCAAGAGGGCCCCAAGACGGCCCCAGAGTCGCCCAAGACAGCCCAACAGAGCCCCAAGACGGCCCCAAGATGCGCCCAAGAGGGGGACCACGACTCCAAAATTCGACCCTCCCGCTTGAAGAGTGCCCCAGGAGGCCCCAAGGAGCCCCCAAGAGGCCCCAGGAGGCCCCCAAGAGGCACCCAGGAGGCCCAAACGAGGCCTAAAGAGGCCACAAAACAGCCCCGAGGAGGCCCCACAACGGTCCCAAAACGGCTACCGAGAAGCTGCGAAACTGCCTTCACGACGTCCCCGACAGGCCAACCACGAGATCCAAACCAACACCCATGAGGCCTCTGACCCACCACCCAGGGCACGGTGGCGGGAGCAGTGACAGCACTTGTGCACAGCATGTTCCGGCGGGAGCCTTCCGGAACACGCTGCAGGAGGCGGAGGAGGAAGATCAGGAGGAGAGAGAGTTGGAGTGGGAGGAGGAGGATGGGGACGAGGAGGAGGAAGAGGCCTCCCAGACAGCTCCAAGATAGCCGAAGAGGCTTCCAAGAGGGCCCTGCGCGGCCCACGAGGGCCCCAAGGCGGTGCCTGAGGCGCCCAAGACGTCCCGAGAGGGCCCCAAGACGGCCCCAAGAGAGGCCCAAGAAGGGAAACACGATCCGAGAATCCGAGCTTTCTACCCCGAGAGGTTTTCGGGAAGTCCCAAGAGGCCCCCAATCGGATCCAAGAGGCCCCCAAGAAGCTCCCAAGAGGGTCGACGAGGTTCCAAGAGATCTCCCAAGGTGGCCCCAAGAGGCACAACTCATAGTTTTACGATTGGGCTTTGACGGGTTTTAATTTTTTCGGCCTTTTGGCATCCCGATGCTCCAAGACGGCCCAAGAGGCTTCCAATACCGCTCCCATATAGAGGAAGAGGCCTCCAAGAAATCCCCAAGACGGCCCGCGAGGGCCCCAAGACGGTGCTTGAGGCGCCCAAGACGGCCCGAGAGGGCCCCAAGAGCCCCAAGAGAGGCCCAAGAAGGGGAACGCGACCCAACAGCAGAGCGGTCCCCCCAAAAGGCCCACAGGAGGCCGCAAGAGGCCCCCAAGTGGTCCGACGAGGACCCCAAAAGCTTCCCGAGGGCCTAAAAGGCCCCTAGGAGACGTCCAAGAGGCTTTAAATAGCCCAAGAGTGCCCTCGATGCGTCAAAACTGCTTCCAGGAGGCCCCCGGGAGGCTTCCGGATTGCCTCAATCTGGCCGCAGGTGGCCTCAAGTCGGGCTTCCACGCAGCCAAGACGGCCAATGACGGCTTCAGATTGCAGAACCGATGCCCCCAAGGGACCCTCAGACGCCCCCCCAAGAAGCACCCAAGAGGTGCCTCCATCAGCCGGTTGACGAAGCATGCGGAACACCCCAGAAGCTCCTCAGATGCCGTCGCGCGCCTGTGCTTGATATCTTTGTCCAAGATCGTCCAGCGCCCCCCTGGCCTGGGCTAGAACCTGAGCGCGCGCGAAGCGCGCGCGATGTTTCTAGCCCAGGGGCCCGAAAACAGCTGCCCGACCCTCCAGTACCGGGGCTCATTTTCGCTGTGCTCTTACGCGGTTTCGGCGTCCCGGGCCTCGAAGGCCGCCGCGATGCTCCCGGACGTTTTCCAGATCCTCGGCGCGGGCTCCAAGACTATTCCGCAGAGGACTCCAACAGGCTCCAGGGCAGCCCAAGAGGGCTCCAAGACGGCTCCAGGAACGACTGCAGCCTCTCAGTTTTTCTGTGTTTTCTGCAAGACGGCTCCAAGAAGACTGCATGTCTTATGAGGATGGCTTCCGCCTCTTGCCCCGAGCATCCCAAACTGCATGAACGGTCTGCACACGCCTTCCCCAAACCCAGCGCTTGCCCAAGCGCGTTCCGGACGGTCTTCGCCGGAACGCGCTGGAATGATCACGCGCTGCGGTTTCCCATGCCAACGTCCTCGGACGTGGGCGCCCTGCCACGAGCGCGTTCCGGGCAGATGCTCCCGGAACGCGCTGAAAAGATATGGCCACATTTCGGGGACGCTCCCGGCACCGCTGCCCCAGCCTTTCCGGGCAGCCTCCACAGCGCTCCAGGAGGGCCCAAGACGCCCCCCAGGAGCCCCCAGAATGCGAAAGGATGGCCCAAGACGCTCCCGAGCAGCCCAAGTCAGCCTTCCGACGGCTCTCGAGGCTTCCAGGTGGCCTCCAAGAGACCCCAAGAAGTCTGATAGGTATCACGGTACGGCCCGAAGAGGCCAAAGTCGTATATGTTCAATGGTCTTTTCAATGTTTTTGGCTTCTCGCGTTTTCGAGCTTCCAACGGTCCAAGAGCGCCGAAGAGCCGCCAAGGGGGTACCGGGGCTCATTTTCCGTATGTTTTTACAGGGTTTACGCGTCCTGGGCCTCTGAGGCCGCCGCCTCCGACCCCCCATGGGAGGACGGGGCGGCCGGGGAGGTCCAAAATAGTCCAGGAGGGCCTCCAGAGGCTCCCAAGATGGCCCAAGCGGGCCCCGAGTCGCCGAAAGACCGCTCCAGGACGCCCAAGATAGGCCCAAGACGGCCCGAGAGGCCCCCCAAGGCACTCCACGACGCTTCAAGACGCCTCTCCAGAGCGCTTCCAGAGGCCGAAATCGTCAATTGTACGAAGGTTTTCGAACGATTTTGGCCTTCCAGCCTTTTCGGCTGTCCGACGTTCCAAGACGGCTCAATAGGCCCCCAAGGGCGCCCCAAGACGGCCCAAGAGGGCCCCAAGACGGCCCCAGAGTCGCCCAAGACAGCCCAACAGAGCCCCAAGACGGCCCCAAGATGCGCCCAAGAGGGGGACCACGACTCCAAAATTCGACCCTCCCGCTTGAAGAGTGCCCCAGGAGGCCCCAAGGAGCCCCCAAGAGGCCCCAGGAGGCCCCCAAGAGGCACCCAGGAGGCCCAAACGAGGCCTAAAGAGGCTACAAAACAGCCCCGAGGAGGCCCCACAACGGTCCCAAAACGGCTACCGAGAAGCTGCGAAACTGCCTTCACGACGTCCCCGACAGGCCAACCACGAGATCCACACCAACACCCATGAGGCCTCTGACCCACCACCCAGGGCACGGTGGCGGGAGCAGTGACAGCACTTGTGCACAGCATGTTCCGGCGGGAGCCTTCCGGAACACGCTGCAGGAGGAGGAGGAGGAAGATCAGGAGGAGAGAGAGTTGGAGTGGGAGGAGGAGGAGGGGGACGAGGAGGAGGAAGAGGCCTCCCAGACAGCTCCAAGATAGCCGAAGAGGCTTCCAAGAGGGCCCTGCGCGGCCCACGAGGGCCCCAAGGCGGTGCCTGAGGCGCCCAAGACGGCCCGAGAGGGCCCCAAGACGGCCCCAAGAGAGGCCCAAGAAGGGAAACACGAACCGAGAATCCGAGCTTTCTACCCCGAGAGGTTCTCGGGAAGTCCCAAGAGGCCCCCAAATCGGATCCAAGAGGCCCCCAAGAAGCTCCCAAGAGGGCCGACGAGGTTCCAAGAGATCTCCCAAGGTGGCCCCAAGAGGCACAACTCATAGTTTTACGATTGGGCTTTGACGGGTTTTAATTTTTTCGGCCTTTTGGCATCCCAATGCTCCAAGACGGCCCAAGAGGCTTCCAATAT